AAATATACATACATAAATAAATTTTACACTTGCATGTATTAATAATGAAATATTTATTTAAAAATATCAAACCTGTCATTTAATTTAGTCTAATTTAATAGACTTCTATGGCTAGAATACATATAGATACATTTTAGAACACAAATGTTAAACACATTTTAAAGCAAAGCAAATACGATTATTTTCCAAACTTAAAGCAGAAACCAGTTTCTTTCGCTTCGAGTTTCGACGAGAAATACGATATCCAACCAAAAATCCGTCCGAAAGTTCGCAATATTTTTTTAAAAATATAACCGGAGTTGCAACACGTTGACCATTGTTCGATTCTTTCTATTATTTCAAATTGTTTGCGCAGCTTCGAGAGCGTTTGCAACGCGCCGGCCGCGCAAACAACAAACTCGTTTCCATTTGGACACGGTGAGAAAATTGCAACGATCGACTAGCAAACGCTCGACTAATTTGCATATCGAGGTAACTTCGATAAGAATCGCAAACGGAAAAAAATTCATCGGTTCCTCCGTCCAACCGAAAGAAAAATAAAGAAAAAAAAATCATTGAATACAGACTCCTTGTTATTTCGATGGTTTTCGGGACGAGCCAATACTAAGCAGATATTATAATAAAAAATATTATGATAGTTTACGTAACACATAGTGATTATATTTTATCGATTTCTAAATTTTAGGAAAATTGTGGAAAAGTCAACGATGCGGGGTTGCAACAAACACGAACACGTTTTATATCATCATTACATTTATTGAAACAGTATTCACGTCGATGAATATTTTTACAGTAATAATATTCCGTACTCGCTTCTCGTCGCATTTTCTTTTGTCTCTGTCTCTTTGATTCGTGCTGACGTTCCTCTATAACATGATACATTATCGATTATGGATTTTATGTACAATGCGATCTAGACCTTACCTATAAATGTGCAACATTCCGTAACTGTCGCGGATATCGATTATCTAACGTGTGTAATAACATTATCTCGATATCTTTCTGTTTGACCAGCGATTAAACCAGCGCGTGTCGGTTCATCTACTAGCCCTTCGTTCGTGCTTTTTCACGTCGAACGAACGCGTCGATTATTTCGAAACAGAGGTCGGACAAAATTCCTTTCGGAATAAACCGTTGGAATAATTAACAAAACGTTATCAAATTTTAACGCTTCATTTAATGTTCAACGCTAGTTACGATTTCAATAACACCCAGATGCTTATTAAGTAGCTATTCAACCGAATAAAGAGCGTATAAAGTATTCATTCGTCATTCGTTATTCGAATGAAATTCTGTCTGTCTCTGCTTGGAACGTCGACGTTGCGATACGAGTCGAACTAGGGTCGACCGAACGGTGGCCATTCGAAAGGAATGAGTCTCGAAGGATCGAGAAAAAAAGTTTACGATAAAGACTTAATGAAACTTCGCCGTTAACGTCTCCCTTGTTTCCAACATTATTAAATAGTGATGGGAGTAATACTTTTCGATTAGCGTCGATTCGTAGCAGTAAAGTATTACTGCGTCGAGCGAATGGGTATCGAATAAAATCGATGCTTGAATGGTATCTACAGAAACGTGTATTGACTCTTTAAAATGCATCCCACAATGAAGTAATTAATATTATCGTTAAAAAGGATCCAGATGGCGCACGTAGAACGGTAAGAATGAAATAAACACGATTACAGTCCGAACGTGTATGCATACGTTTTATTACGTTCACATATATTTCGTAATTAGGTAAAGTATCTTCTCTATTAAATTCATGTTCATTCGTATCCCGTAATCAATTCAAGAATACTCTTCATTAATTATTCCGTAATTAGTTAAAGGTGTACGTGCTGGTTATCTGGACTGCGCCCGTTTTTATTTAATTAATTAATATAGTTACGATTCTGCAATCTGGAGATGTGGAATGCACAGCGAATAATATATTGCAACTGAAAACAATGCCTGTGAAGCATTAATTAACGAACTTTTATATTATTCTGTGCATGTTTCTCAGTGTCTCGTTCCCGGAAGTTATTCCACGAGTAAACAATTTATGTAAAACTTGTCGATTGTAAGAAAGTATTGATCAGTCCCATCACTATCGTTAAATTACTCAACGTACGACGCGAATCGCTAAATTCTTCGAATATCACACGATCAACACTCAAAAACTGGCCCGATCAATTGACGATCAACGATCGCGCGTCCCTTCTCTGTCATAGATTGTTCTCGTAACATTTAGTATTACATTTAATATAATTATAGCCTTGAGATACTTTCATATCAATTCTATTGATAACAAAATAATGAAATAAAAATGAAATAAAAGAAGAACGTATATTTCTCGATTCAATTATTTAAAAAAAAAAAAAGAAAATGTTATCACTCTATTCATTAGCCCAAATACCTGAAAACAGGAAACATTCGATATTCCAGCTCGTCAAGTCCATAATTACGTTAAACAAGTTGTTTACAAGCAAGCTATCGTTCCCAAACTGTTATTTATATATAATATTAATTCGCCTAAACGTGTCACCGTGTTCAAGCTCTCGTCGCCCATTCTCACCCATCAAACTTCAAAATATTGTCCTCTCACAACGACATAAATTACCGTATATAAACTATACAGGAATGAATAATATATCTCGCCCGTGTTCGAAAACCGCTTTCCATTTTGCAACATACGCGAACGTGTTCCGGCAGTCCGTTTCACACCGAAGATCCTCTACCACTTCCGATGGTACATTATAAAAAATCTATTTAGACCTAAGGGGGGGTAAAGTCGCACCTTAACAAGCTAGACGTTATGATATCGTTTTATTTAATTATTTTTATAATTCTTTACTCTTTCTTTACTCGTTAACGTTACATCGTAGTAAATCTACTTAATTAAGTTACTACTATCGTGCCCATACGTCGCGATAAAGATCTAAGGAGGCTGCTTCGAGATTGGTGAACAAAAACGACGATTTATTTTTTCCCAGTCCTGACCTAAGAAGAACGTAATCGATTTCTTAGCACCGTTTAGACGTGTACTCGTTCGCTTAACCGAGCGAAAGTAGAATCATGAATTTCTTCGTTATATTTATTTATATATATTCATATATATATATATATATATATATATATATTTTTTTTTTCCTCTTCTTTAGAAAGACTTTGACCCAGAAATACTCTATGAAACGAAATTTTCGTGAAACGACGAGTTTTATGTTACTTATATAACGTTCGTCCTCTTAAGCACGCTCGTTAGGCGACTCGACGGACATTTTCAATATCGGAATTTATACACGCAGTCGTCACGCTTCGATCTCGACAAAATTTACGTTTCTCGAACAACAACGGAACGTCCATTATCAAGCACGCAACGAATAGTACTATTACCGACGCGCTTAATTATACATTTACGTTATCCTTACCTAGACCTATGATTAAGTCTCGTTCATAGAACTCGTGATTCCTTACAAGGTATCGAATGTGATTGCATTTTTTGATTAGACGTTAAACGACAATCCGGGACACATTCTCGCGTCCGAGAGCTCGCGAGTGGAGGAGATACAGGGATGGGCAGAATTTTCGTTCGGATCGTACGTTTCGAATTACGAAATTAAATCGAATTAAATAGAAATGGGTTACTGATATTTATTTAATTCCTTGAGCGATGTGAAATATCTGGTATTGACTGTAATTATTCTTTCTTGCTGATATTTATGGACCCTACAATAAAATATCAATATGTACTTTATTAATAATAAAGAAATGAAAGTGGATGCATAAATTGTATGAAAAGAGATTCATATCGATAAAGATTGTTACATTTTGTGAAAACTTAGTGGTGTACAAACAATTTCAATTATTTTATGTAAATAAAGGCACTTTGATGTCGTAGTAGCGTCATTGTACCAATATAAAAGGGTCTTCATTTGTATAATATCGTCAGAATTGTTTGTTAATTCATACACATTTTTTCTGTTCTGAAGAATTCTAAATGATCACCTCCACCTAGAACTAAATAAAAAGATTTACAACTTGCACAGTTGTTCGATAAAAACACCAACCCAATTCAAACATTTCAAATAAAATTGCATACTTAACAAATAACAAATAAACAAATAAACATTGAGAATGGACCATTACGGAGATTCTCCATTCGTTATTTCCCATTCGAATAAAATTCTGCCCATTTCTGAAGGGACGATAGAAGAACGCGAAATCGAAACGTTAACGTTCCCCCGTTGTTCCGCGTCGAACAAACAGAAACATATCGAGGACGATTACTGTACCTATTATCGTTGCTAATACGACCGAAAACAACGGCGAGAGCCTTCCAAGAAAGGAAACCCATCTTCGGAAGAATGATCTTACCGTCTCAAGGGAATCGTTCGCTAACTCGCAGGCCGATTACTTCGTTCGAGAGTCAGCCGTTCCGGAATTACAGTCATCTCGCGAACGGAGGCCAACCGAGTCGGATCTGGGCAAACAGCGAACGATCAAATACGTCCTCCATGCGAGAAGGTTCTGCGATTCGACCCGAGGAAAATCCCGCGCTCCGAATGGACGTCAAACGAGCTGACTTTCACAAACTTTTAAATAAAAACACGCGCCACCTTCTACGCAAACTTGAGTCCACCATGAAACTGAAATGGATGTTTGTGAGTTTAGAAAATATGTTGATAATGTAGGTAGTTGGAATAGTTATGTGTTAGAATTTTAGTGTTAGAATTTTTTAGGTGGATACGGTCAAATTGCGTACAAGATTGAATTTAGCGAGTTGGTTGATTATATTTCCAAATTCTTTTTTAATTGTCTGCATTATTAAGACTGCTCTGAGATGTTAGAATTTTTTAGGTGGTCAGAGTCAAATTGCACGAAAGATTGAATTTGAAGAGTTGGATAATTTGACTCACGTATTATATTTCCAAATTCTTGTTTAAATCTCTGCATCATTAAGACTTCTTGTCATAAAATTTAGCTCAGGTATTAAAGTAAGAGGGTTAACCACAGATTTGATATCTATTGAAGAATTATGATTAAATTGCACAATAGTTTTGATACTACCAGATGAATTTTTCATTATAAATATGTATACGAGTACGCTTATACATGTATATACTTATACATACATCAACATATTTATACAAACATACACTTGGATCAAACCTACCATTTAATTTAAACTCTTCGATAGACACAGAGGTATGGCAGTATATCTGCGATTAAAATGTCAAATTAAAAATTCCAGACAAAAATTTATACAATTTTCTATCAACAATCACAAGCCACCCCGTTTGACGGTCCTCTTTGATCAACCACCACCCTCGCGCGAGTTTTATATACAAAAGTAGCCCAGATCCGCGATCCTCGTATGTTGTGCTGTACAAATCGAGGTCGACGAACCCTATCGCTTAACGCCCGTTTCATCTTTTATGTACAGGAGAACTTACGCTACCTACATGACACCGTTCAATGGCAACTATCGACAGTCCAATGTCGAACGACGAGCCTCGCAACTCCGCGTTCTCCGTCGATTCCATCGCCCTGGCATTGCCTTTGGATTCACCCCTTCGAAACGTCCACTCGTTCGAATTCCCTCTAGCAATGGTCTCATTTTTCACTAGTCCATAGAAGATCGAACTTCGGATCCACAAGGTCGCCGAGATGGCCGCGAACACGAGTCAAAAATCGACGCGTGTCGATGAGTACAAGGACCAATGATAACTCAAGGGACCAGCGAAGTCGGAGAACAGCGTGCGATTACGCGAGAAAAATTTCTACAGTGAGCACAAGAATCGTACTTCACTTTCGCACCACAGGTCGATTCGTTGCACTTTGTCCACGATCCTTTATTTTTATTAGACTTGTTCTAAATTTCACTGTCCGCGGCGCGAATTGGATTGATTTATCAGAGTCGTGGGTGATGTTTTTTTCTGTGTTTTCTCTTTGTTCTTTCATTTTACTGTTCACCCTTATTACCGATCCGCAGTTCGTGGGACGTAAGGGAGCGCGTTCTCGCGTCGCAATCGCGGTTTCACACTCAACGACCACCGATGCGCGCCTCTGCTTCACGAAACGTTCGACTTCCGGTTCTCGGAGTCGTCACGGTTCACAACGAGACTGCTCACCTTAGCAGGTTCGCGATTAAGAGCGTCACGGTCGCCAGGAGTATGGTGGGCGTCACGCCGCAGCTTCCGCCGTGTTGCATGGCCGCTGGATGCTCGCCTGAAACAGACAGAGTGAATTCTGCATTAAAAAAATTGTTTTTGTTGTATTTTACGATTTAGTTTTGGAGGAAGATTGTTGGAGTGGACGACTACGCCGCAAGACGAAATGTATTTCGATATTACATGTTTTTGCAGCGTATAAACACAAAAGGTGAACAGTAAGCTTAGGTGCGCCGGATAGACGGCAGCACTGGTCCGGTCAGAGCCATTTTTAAGCGGGAAATATCCTAAAGAAAAAATAAATGTGTGAGTGATTAGGAAATAACACTCAACGATTGGCGAACGAATTCTCGTTGAAAAATAATTGTTAAGTGATTATTTTAGGAATTAGTTTCAAAGAACTAAAGAACTGTGCGCAGGTAATTTAATTTAGCACAGCTCTGTGTGTGGAATGATTAGGAAATAAAATTTAAATATTTCCCAACGAATTCTCCTTAAAAAAAATTGTAAATGATTATTGTACGATTTAGTTTCAAAGACTGATTAGGAAATAACACTTAAATGTTTCAGTTCCTATTAAATACATTTACGTAAATGTAAACAATGGTGCTAATGATACATAAAAATTGAAAAATATCCTCTTCAACTAATGATGAAATTACAAATATTAAGAATGTACGAAAACATTATAATTACGAACTTATGAATTCTAATATTTCCTTTGCACACATTCAACTATTTTCTTTATAACAAACAACATTCCCATGCTTCCCATTCCCGTTCCAAACCCTTCCAACACGCGACAATTATAATTTCTTTTCTCCTTCCCAACGGTTTACACCGTTCCTCGGTATTACGTCTACCATAGTCCAGGACCGAAAAGAGTTCTCCGTAAACTCTCTCCGCTTGCCCTAATCCCCCGCGCAACCGCGCAATCAGAATCCCAATAAATCCTTCACCGTCGACGTGAAACCTATTTCCTGCACAAACTTCTAATTCACGCCGTCGCTGCGTTCCTTCCATTACAAATAACCATTAATAACGGCGACAGGGATCGGGAGGGGACGCAGCACGGCTGCAGGGGACCGGAACGCACGACACGAACAGAACCAGCAAACCAGCGTTAATCAGAAACTATCTCCTAGGCGGGTGTAACGATTTCCATACATATATTTCGCCATATCCAGACAAATGTTAACGATGCATCGGGCACGATGAACGCGCCCTACGTAATAAAGATAATCACGCCGTTGCGATCGCGGTTAGGCGAGTCGCGGCTTCAGGCTCGGTGGAGGCGATTTACGAACGAACAGGAAAATTCCGACGCGGGAACTGCGCATCGCGAGGAGGATGTTGGGCGTGTTGCGACCGTTTCGTCTAAAAACGACGCCATTCGTCGCCACCGAGCGTGCACGGCCCTGGTAATTGCATTAATGCGCGAATAGCTCGCGCTCAGGGCCGATAATCTCCCGTCGCGTACGGTCTAATCGCGAAATACACCGGAGCCTCGCATAATGTTCGAGAAGGGCGACTGGGAATTGTCAATATGCGAGGCAGAGGGTTTTTCACGGAACTGGTTGGAGTCAAGTGGATATTTAATTAATGGAAATAAGGGTTCGTTGAGTTACACTGAAATTATTATGTTAAAATAAAACATCGGAGCCTGGACAACCAGCAGTTTGTGACTCTATAATATGTTATTCACGTAACAGAGCAATAAGATCATCACGATAATGTACCTCTAAAAACTGTGAACAATATATTATATTTTTAGTACACGGTAAGTACTTTACTTTTCTTTCGTATTCGCAATTTTGTTTAGGATTTATAATTTCTTTGTAAACATAAGAATAAAATCATCACGATAATGTGCTTCTAAAAACTGTAAACAATATATTATATTTTTAGTATACAGTAAGTACTTTACTTTCCTACTGTATTAGTAAATTTGTTTAAGATTCATAATTTTGTTGTACACTTAAAACGATCCGAAGCTTGATATCGAAATCGTAATAAAAGTCGTCCACGCAGCAATGATTATGAATGATCAAAATGGGTCGAAATAGTCGCGGAACTTTTCCAATGCGTTCTATTAAAACAGTTGAAATGGAATTCTGCAACAAAAGTTCTCTGTACGAGTTCCATTGAGAACAGATAAATAAATTATACGAAGTAAAGCAGATACATAAGTCCTCGAAAATAAAAGTTGCGGCGAATGAAAGTAAAAGCTCTCGTGTAACAAGAATGGTTACTTCATCGATAGCAGGAAAGTTTCCAACTACTTTCGCATCCGTATATTATGCGAGTCTTTATCTATACTAATATCATAAAAAGTTAAGTTTGTTTCTTTGTATATAGAGTGTAATCTCCGGAACTATTAATTCATTTGTGAGAAACTGTAATAAATGAACAAATAAAATACTTCAGGGGTTTTAAATCAAATGTAGGGGTTTTTTAACTTGCGTTAGGGGAAACCGTTCTGTACTGGTCGGTAGAACTGCGCTGTCGAACAGTTAGGCGAACGAAACGACACAACCTAACCTACTTGAAACGGGTGAAACCGCCCCATGCTCTAGTAATAAAGATCTCGTTTCTTGTTGCTTTATAAGATCTTTTAATCTCGCATCTGTTCTCCCCAATGAAGCTTAAACCCCCAGGCCGTAAACCCTCAGCAACCCTTTGAATAATAAATCCCCAAATCACCGAAAAACATCCTGATCCCGCGTGCGTTCCACGCGGACTCCTCGTCCGCCGAAAAACGGCGCCGCGCGTCGTCACGGCGCGCGCACTGCCCATAATTGCGTTAATGCGCGGATATCGTGCGCCCTGGGCGTATAATCCGGCGTCGTGTACGGTCCGATCGTGAAATAATTGAAATTTGCGGTCAATTTTGCAGAGTAATCAGCCGTGTTTGAAATAATGTCGATGGCCAGGCGCGCGGGACGCCCCCGTCCCCTCGCCCGTACCCGATTGTAAATTAATTATGCAGACGAACTGCGTTGCATTAATTTTCATTCGACGCGCGGAAGCGTCATCGCGTTTTCCAACGGTCGCGGATCCGCGCGGCGCGTTCACGGCGGGTTTCGAGGCTTGTAACGCGGGTGATCGACGCCGCTGTTGTTATTCTCGAACCGTATCGATGGTATCGGAACACCGTGCCCTTCCACACCCCCTCTGTCCCGAAAGTATGCTCGATTGAAGACCGTTAATGGAATCCCGCGTACTAATCTTCGCGCCATAATTCATGCAGTGTTGATTAGCAGTTCATTGCACGATGGACGCGATGGACTCCGCCAGCACGGTTGAATGTGTGATTCCGGGCCGATGAGAATGGAGCAGTTCGGTGCGTTGCGCCGCGCAAAATGATTATTCGTCGAGTGGATTGGCATTCGTGTTGGGCCGAGTCTCGACGAGAGGGATGAAATTAATGAGGGTTTTTTGATTATAATTGAGGGAGTGAGGAACTTCGCGTGGAAAGATGAATTCGCGGAGGGCGTTATTTATTTATTTGGTTATTCGTTCGCGGGAGGAATTATGCGCGAGGGAGAATTGCCTAATTCGTGCAACGTACTCTGTCGACGGTAAGTGTCGGCACACCTATGTTTGTACACAATGAAATATTGATACAGCAACATTTTTCCGTGGGTTATATCGCCTGAATTTAATTAAAATACATGGTAAACTGTAAATATTTATCACATATAAGGTGTTCGCAAAAATATATGCTTTGATTCACTGCACAAAATCTTAAACTTAAGTGTCAAAACATTTGGTGTAGTCATAACTTTTTATATTTGTTATGAATTTTCCGAAAGGGAAAGAACTTTCTTCAATATTCGTTTGAATTGATATTATAAAGGGAATTTTAAAAAACAATGTACATTATTTCATCACATTTCTCAACTTTTTGTTTCATGGAGTTAAATACTTTGTGTTTTAAAGTTTGTATATAGAACAATATATTTTATTTGTCCAATGAACGACTCATTTATCGATGCTGTACTTTTTGGTACAATATTTGTATTTTAGTTAGCACAACGATATTGTCTCATCGTCTCAAAATTCACCACTGAGAACAATTCCAGAATCTCGCAACGGCCGAATTAGCTGCACAATATATGATTCTACGCTGGCTGGGATTTGGTGGCGGCGCTGGATTGTCGGAGTTAGCATTGTGCATTATTTAACATGGGTGCACAGGATTCGATTACTCTCGCGAATAATGAAACGTCCTGTGTGGTTACTCTCGGGGCGTTTTTTCATTTTACGGGCACTATAAATTAGTGTCGCGTATAATGAACCACTCCTAGCGACTTTTATTCAGAATTTTTTTCAATTCGTAATGAATTAGTATTGCAAATAAGGAAACGCCCCGTACTCTTGTGAATGCTTCTTTTTTGTTTCGTACTCGATAAATTGCTGTCGAGAAGGAAATAACGGACCTCACGGGGTTTTTTGCTGAAATTTATGTCGACTCAACGATTATTTATTTATTATTAGGGCCCTATCGAAATACTGTTCGTCAGATTTGTGATGTTTTATTTGAAATGAGTAATTAATTTTGGAAGTTATGTAGCGTGGTATGAAGTAATGGTTACATTTTCTAAATTTAGAAAAGAGTAACAAGGGTGAAAGATACAAAGAGAGTGATGAAAGGTTTTTCTTAATATTCAAACACAAATTCCAGTTCATTTATGATCATCAAAGATATAAATTCATTTCAAGTAACTCTTTAAAAATAATACTTTTACGTAATCCTCTAAGTACGAATTCTTTTTAAATAATTCTTTAAATTTAATACTTATGACACTTTGTCGACACTGACACTATTTAATACTTACAGGCAATGGAAATAACCTGTGCATAATGGTATACATTGTTGAAAGTACCAGCTACAGGAGAAGTATATTTCTATCGTAATTATAAACATTACATGGAAACATTACGTCCTAAAAGCAAAAAGAATATATTAAGGTCCGCCATTCGATTCATCTGTTAATATATCACGATAAAATGGTCGAATTCATCAATTTTGTTTCCTTAAACCGTGTCTCCTTCGAAAATCAAAGGAACCATCCCCCTTCGACCATCGAAGACGTATCGGCGGCCCTTCGCATCACAATTGTTCGACAAATTCCTCGACAATGGCTGTCCCCGTATCGTGAGTTGCAACTTGAATGGCTCTCGCGCTGCGCGAGAAGGAAAAGGAGGGGAGGCGTTCATTCATCAAACATCGGGATCCCTCGTCATAAAGTTTGACAGGCTCGTGTATTGGGGCCGCGGCAAGTACTCAGCCACCTGCCCCCGCACGCATACACGTGGTTCTGATCTATTGTCAGGCGGCAACACTCGCGGTAACGCGTGCAATATCTTGCTCGGCAAGTTCGCCAATCCAGGCTGTCAATCATCGGCAGGCTTTCGCGCGCACGCACCCTCCGCTAGAAAGTCCTGGCGGAAACACGTCAGCCGTGAAAACCGACGACTTACTCTGTTCGGGGCGATGTAATCTCATTGCCGGACCCAACGTTCCCCTCGCGAAGGAACAATCGCTGACAGACGCGATGAAAGTTCCTCGATGACGTTCGGTGGGCCTTTGGCAAGCAAGGGGAATCGAAGATGTGAGATTTTGAGATGTTTACCTCGTACTTCCTGTTTCATGGCGGCGCAAAGCGTTTTCTTTGGAAGTTACGTGACTCCAGGTTATTTTGGACATGTTTAAACGAAGGAGCATCTAATATGGTTGGTTTATAATTTTATAAAATTAGATTTATAAAGTTAGTTTTAGAATTGGTATTGTAGTTGTGTTATACATTTTTAAAGGTGTGTTTAAAAGGAATTTTCATGTTTGATGATCATGTATAAGTATTATTTTTAAAGAATCATTTAAAAAGAACTTGTATCTTTGATGAACATGTATAAATATTAGTTTAGAAGAACTATTTAAAAAGAATTTACATCTTTGATGAACATGTATAAATATTCCAAGTATCCAAAGGAAAAGATACGACTTTCTCTCCACCAAACAAATGGTTAAGTCATTCTGGAAGAGCGTCCTCGTATCGACGAGCTGTCGAGATTATGCGACACGTCTTGCCAAAGTGTTCGCGGTTTAGCAGATAGGATCCCGATGCTGATCCTGCCGCGATTCCTCCTCTTAAACGGATTTGCATGCGACGTTTATGGAGGCGCGTGTACATGACGTGGTACCCCGAACCGTTTCGAACCGATTCGCGTATAAAAAAAAAAAAGAGAAATTTGCCTAAAACGCCTCGCATAACGAAGCCGTATCGCGGAACGCGTCGTGCAGATTTCGAAACGAATAGCGCCGACCGAGTATAAAAATGAATTGACGGAGATAAAATTCGCCTCGATCCTGGGCCAGAATTAAACGTTGCCCCGACAAATAAATTGGGGAACGTGCGACGCTTTTTTCGACGAAAAATTGTTTGTTTATCGATTTATTTTTGTACGAGGAACACGCTCTATTGACGTTATTGGGTCATATAAATTGCAGAACCTAAAAAATATCGAGGATTTTAACTTAATGAACAGTATCAAGTCGTTATTCTTTCATCGCATTATGTATTATTATCAAACTGGGGATTTTATGCATTTGTGACATAAATTAATACAGCAAGTACATGTTAAATGTAAAAGAAATGTGTGTGTACTTGTGCAAAATGAAATAATGGTATTGTTATATCGATTGTAGAATATAATTAATATTTATTGTATATGTTTTTAATGTTTAAGGTTTAAATATAAATTATAAATAGGAAAATAAAGTGTAAGTTTTTGGGTTTAAACGTACAACATCCATTTCAGTTATTATTTTTCGTTCCAGGAGCGTTCCATCCCCGATTATGATTTCGATATTACGTCAACCCTTTGGAAATTATTTGCGATAACGAACAAAATATCGCGCTGGTTCTGTCCGTCTGCCCTTCCGTTAATCAGTACCGTAGAGACGGTTGATTGAAATAATCCAAAGTACACGGTAATGAACGAACGGGGGTTAATCTAAAATCCCTTGTGTTATTAACAAATTTCACCGTAATTCGAGTTTCAGTAAAACGTTCGCGACCCCGACGGACGTGCTGTTTTCGGAGTCGAAATGAAATCGCGTCGAATTGCTCGTGGAACGCACGACAGTTTACTGGGAGTCTTTTTGAGAAGCAAGAGTAATTATATTAATTCAACGCTTCTCGCTCGCTTCTCGCGGCTCTTTTCACCCGCGAGCCTCTTGAATAAGATGAAATTATTACGGGGCCCATTCGACAAAAATTAGAAATTACACGAATTTATTATTACGCTAATTACACGATATTTTACGCGGAATTGTATTTGAAGGTTTAATTAATATTTTTTTATTGTTAGAAAGATTGATTAGATTTGAAAATGACAGTCGGTCTCATAAGTATTCCTACTACTCTATATCTATTGAAAATATTTTCATTATAAATATACACAAGTGTAACGTTCATTTATGACATTGTTTGATATTGACATCTTATCAAATAATTTTAGTCTTCTCACATAATAACGTATACATCTTAATTATATACAGTCAGTCTCATAAGTATTCGTACCCTCTTTATCTATTGAAAATATTCTCATTATAAATATATACAAGTGTAACGTTCATTTATGTAGATATTTATAATGAAACATTTATTCAGAGACATAAAAGCTGTCATTTAATTTAGACAAATTTCTTCAACAAATATAAACAGAATATTTATGGAACCGACTGTAATGTCTATGCTTGACGACACCACCAACTTAAAATATCAAAGTAAGTGCTTTGCAAGTAGTTTGAAGAAAACATAAATTCCGTTTATAGAGGGTTAACTCATCAAACGCTTTCTGTCAACAGTTCGTCCTCTGTTTTACATCCTCATCGAGAACAGATCAACAAACCATTTCCTCGACGTTCTCTCCACTCTTTCTCTCTCTAATCACAACATCCCTAATCACCCCCCGAAAGTATACCTCCACCGTTCCACCCTCTCGACGATCCAACACGCATCCAAAACAACGATCAATCGAGGAATTGAATTCCTCGTCGAGGAAATACATATCTCGAGATCCGCTCTCTCAAAACTGATTCGACACGCGTGAAGAATGAATACGAAGAATGTGCTCGATTCGTTGGCTCGCGGGTTCGAAATCGCGTCCAGCTGGACGTGGAACAAACAGGCTGGATGGCACCCCGCGAAAGAAAAGAATCGCGACGAGCTTCCTGGAGACAGGATAAGCGGTGTTACAAGAAGAGTGCGGATCGATATTAAGAAACTTGTGTGTCACGGCGCAGCTACGTCTGGGCGCAAGACTGATCGTCGCTGGAGCGTCGAAGAAATTAAGTCGACCCCGCCGGGAGACGAAACGGCGGTAGGGGGCGAATTCGGTAGAATAAAATGGTTCTTACCATTCAGCACGTGGACCGTTACGCTGGCTGGATTCGCGTTGCTGGGAATGCAGGTGTAATTTCCGCTGTCGGTCAATCTGGCTTGTGTCACCAGGAGTTTGCTCGTCGTGCCGTTTTCCGTCTTCTCCGTCTCCAAGGAAACCCCGCCCCTGCGGTGAACGCTGAATTATCAAAGATACTTTGGTACTGTTCACACTGGCACAGGTTATATTACTTTGTTAGTAGTTTCTATGGCTTCTGACTCCGACGCGTTAACCGCGAACTTAGACAAGCGCGAGCAAGGCCGTGACAAGGTAGCAACGGAAGACTCTGGCTGGAGCGTATCAAGGGTGGTGTCACAGGTGAATTAAATCGGGATAATTGGTGCTTCACTTTACTTATTACGTGCTGAGATATTGTATTTTTCAGCTGAACTTTACTTTGGAGCACTGAAAATTTTTAACTTTTTTTTTTATACTGTTTAGTAGCTTTTGATGCCCGGATCACAAAAGTGGAAGTTTTAACGTTGGGAATGCGACGGTTGGGAAGTTATGAGCAGTTACAAGTGGGCAGTTTGCCTTGTAACCTGTCAGTAAAACAGATTCTCGTTGGTGGCGGACTATATTATGTTCATACTACTTGTATACTGTTACACCTATGTTTGAAAACTGTCACATTTCGAATTACAGAGTTTTTTCGGGGTGTATTTTCGTGGCAGGGGTGCAGAGTACGAATTCAACTTTTTAATTGCCTGATAAATACGGCAAAATTGCTCAACTTTACATGCACTTAACTTTTAAACCGTTGGATTTCTAACATTAAAGCTTAGATTTATGAATTCTAGGCATCAAAAATGACTAAATGGTTAAAAAAAATGCAATAATTTATAGTGCCCCGAAGTCAAGTTTAACCTATTTTTCAATCACAAGGAACTACCATGTATTATTTTACGAGATAATATTTAAGGACCTCTAGAAGAAGCTTCAGGATTTTGTTTTGCGATAAAATTGAATACATCTGATCTCTTTTAATTTTTAGAGATAATTAGCTCGACACTTTACTCACTACGTGCTGGGATATATTTTTCAATCACAAGAAACCATGTATTATTTAACGAGATAGTATTTAAGGACCTCTAGAAGAAGCTTCAGGATTTCGTTTAGCAATAAAATAGACTAAATCTGATCTTTTTTCATTTTTACATATTGTCAAATCAATCGTACATGGATAACAGAGCAGTTCAAAGAAGCTAAATAATTAAAGAGACATAAAACGAACTGAAATCTGGGTAAAGTATTTTACTAGTTTGCAAAAATAAATACCGATACAATTGTTACGTTACTCAGTTTTCCATTATCTTGAAACAAAGTTTTAGCCTTGTTGATATTTTCAAGATGCTCAACATATAAAAGTGCACATGACTACAATTAAATGAGAGAAATAATGTATGCAGTTGCATCGAGCGCCAGAGTACCTAGGCACGGCCCTGTACACAGTCTCCACCTTTTTAACGAGCGTATATACGGGGTCGAGTCTTCTCGCGGTTCCGCGAATTTCCTGCTCGAAGTTCGGAATTTCGTGGCTCTTGTCCAAGTAGAAACTACTGTATTCGAACTGACATACTGACGAAGTTTATACGACCTTTTGCTCAACCCTTTCACTGTTTATTCCATTAGAGCAACAATGGCTCCGTGCATTCGAACTGTTTAATCCGTCATCGAGTTGAAATAATTTATTTTTCGAATACGTTCTCTTCCATTTTCATATTTCGTGTCTAGCCTAGGGGATAGTCTTTTGAAATCAGTATGCCATCGATTTTAAAATGATTCACATCAAGTTTGCGAATTACGTAGGGTGACTTTAGCAACTGGGACAAGCTGTAGCCTTAGAAGCCTGATCTTCCAACTTAAATTTAAAAATATGTCGATGTATTTATTATTTGAACAATTTTGACAGGTGACGTTTGTGGTTTTAACTTTTGTTCAAAAGAACATTAGGACATTTAATGGCTGTCCCTTTCGGACCTGATGTCCATAATTATGATTTTTTATTTACTTTTTACTATTGTGATTTTATTTTTTACGTTTTTCATACTAATTTTAGTATAACCCTGAGTTAACCCTGAAAATTAAATTACATTAACACGAGAAAAAGAAAAGTAATTCAGGTCTGAAGAGGCTAAATTTGTTTCTGCGTCAATTGTTTTCTATTACGTTCAGAGATGAGCTATAACATGTCCTCGGTTTCTAGACCCACCCTGTATAAGGGCTACCCGGAAGATGACGTGCTCCAGCTAATTAAGATGTGAGATTAGAGTGCTCCATAAAATACGAGGAAGTTCATGACCTTAATATTATATAGTAAGTGGTAACAACAAGGGAATGTCATCTCAAGCATGATGAGCTGTAAACCTACAAATGATTGATTATTTCTTGAAAAATTATTTATTAAAAATGAACGACCAAATTTTCTATTTATTCTAATCTTTGACCCACACTCCACAAGCTTTAATTCATTGCATCTTAAACACGTAAAAATCGATAGAATTGATTCGTGATGATTATTGAACCCTTAATTACCTCTGTTAATAAATTGTTAATGCATTGTTTGCTTCCAAATACTAAACAGTAAATAATCACAGTAGAACCAAATAGTACCTGGAATATCAGCTAGAATTCCTATTATCACTGAAAACAATTACAACGATCCACAATTTTACAGCAGTAATCAACCAGCAAGCAATTAAACGTATGCAAAACGCTAAACGAAGCAGAAATTCCATTGAAAAGCATGCCGTATCATCCTGTACTAAATCTGCCTACCCAAAAGGTCTAATTACCAATTAAAAATTCCAAACCAAAGCTAGGAAACCAAAACAATTTCCAACGAAATAATCGCAAAGCAAGCGATGAATCGGAAAGGAATTCTAGGTCTCTGAAAATAGCAGGATGGTGTGCAAGTGGCGACGTTATGGAAGCAAACTCGGGAACTTGATTCTCGTGGCTTGTACCTGGGACTGTCGAAATCCACCACGGCCCCTCCGTGATGCCACGAAACGCTGCTGGGCGGTGGTCTTTGCACATTAACGGTGCACGTGAGGCTTATCGTGCTGCCCTTCTTCACGTAGACGTCTTCCGGACCGAGGATTCTCGCCTGAGCGGCTGCAACACACATCGGAAATCGCCCGTTTAAATATTCCGTCCTTGGTCCCAATTAAGTTTCGTTTATTCGCGCGGGAAAATGTGGCGTCTACGGTCGCATGAATTTTCCAGGCTCCTTCAAGCGTGCAGCAAGCGACGAGCGGGACAGAACGACGCGGGTGCGGTGGGAAGTGATCGTTTCACTGGCGAGGTGAAATCTCATGTCTGGTTTTCATTTATTATGGGATGTTACAGTTTTAATTTTGTAGTGGTGGCATTTGTGTTCAATCTGACATCTCGAGTTTCTAATCTGATAGAAAAGCAACTATTCTATGGTAAATATTAATTTTCTTGGTTAAATTGGTCACCAAGAGATAAAATTCAGAAGAATGAAGTTCAAACCTGAAGTTCAAAATCTGATGCAAAATCAACTATTCTATGTTAAATATTAATTTCCTTCATGAAATTAAAATAATGACCAAGAAATAAAATTTACAAGAATGAATTACTAATACCTCCAGCAGAATCTTGATTCTTTATTTACTTTTTACTATTGTGATTTCTTTTTTTAACTTTTTCCATACCAAGTTTAGTGGTTCATGGTCTTTCAAAATTTTAATACCACCTAAATTTTAAATGACACCTTCAACCACATCCGGAATAAAATTGAACCTCGCCAGTTGCATTTTACGTGCATTACCAAATTTCCGTTTAATTATAAACGTCTACGCCTACGAATCGAACATTCGTTCCTCAACGTTAACGTCAACGCCACTCCTTACGACTTAGCATTCCTCTCGATAAATATTGGCTCATCGACGCCTCTTCATCGATAGAATTCGACCCGTGACCAGGGTGGGAAGTTCGGTAAAATTCAAACTGGAAAACAGCGAGGACGCGCGGTGCGTTATTAATGCAGCGAATTACGGGATCCGGTTCGGCAAATTGTGGTAAGTGAACTTAAATTCGGTTGTGTGTAATATTCTATGCAAATTCCGGGGCGGACGGGTATCCGCGAACTCCGTGGCTCTGGCCGTGACTAACATTCGAAACGAATTTCGCCCCAAGTTTTAATGGAACTTCGAAGTTGAGGTCGACGGAAACAAAAATAGAGAGGAAAAAAAACGAGAGAGGTGGAAGGACAACCCGTCTAAACTTGCGTTATTGCCGTGGATATTTTAATTGCGAGGGAAGTGGAAAATTGGATAAACGAGTCTCATCCCCGGTCACGCGAAGCGGAGATTTTCCAACAAAAATTTCACCCCTGTCCAGCTGCTAGACGTAACTTGTACCCGACCGCTTTGTTTCTTTGTCACTTTCGTTAACGGTTAAAGTATCTGCTGGATTTCTGCGCACAGAGCGTTCCAAACTACGTGGCGCAAGTAATATTTAATTAAAGAATTTTAGAATGAACCTTTTTCATAGGAAAATTTGTAGTTGATGGATTATTTAAAAATCGGGAGTTTGTTTTCGAATTCAACTTGCTTCTTGCGTGTTGGGTCATCCCATAAGCTTGTGAAGACTGTGTTAATATACAGGGTGTCCTAGGATTAGTCTAAGAACCGGAAGTTGGGGAAAGGGTAGTTCAAATGATTCTGAACCGAAGTTTCCTTTGCAAAAATGTCGGATGACGCTTCGTTTTTGAATTATTAACGAAAAATCGTCGACCAATTACAGCGCCCGAGTAGCGCGCGCTCAGCCGCGATTGGGTGGCCTGAGCGTCCTGGGTTGAGACTCCCTCTAGCGGCTAAGCGTTGTGATTGGTCGGTGGTTTTTCGTTGATAACTCAAAAACAAAGCACCATACGACATTTTTGCAAAGGAAACTGTGGCTCAGAATCGTCTCAGCTACCCTTTCCCCCATTTCCGGTTCCTGAACTACTTCTGAAACATCCTGTATAATACAAAAAAATTATAAAAGAAAATACTGTAAGATGAGAGAGATTACCTTTTTTAAAGAGTATATTTCACATATTAATTTGAACAGCAGAAATACAAGTGACATGAACTTTTAGGACGACCTAATGAGACACGTACTTTGGAACGTCCTTCGACATAGAAAAAAAATTGAGCTCATGCCAAATGCTAAAGTATAGTGCCGTAATAAATACAAAAAGAACCGTCGCATGACCGTTAATTTTTATGCAAATGCATTCGATGGGTCACTGCGGTATAAAAACAAAAGTGACTCGTACAAACCATCCACGATTGAAATACAGTCAGTCCCATAAATATTCGCACTCTATTTACCGAAGAAATTTATCTAAATTAAATGATAGATTTGATGTTTTCAAATAAATTTTTCATTATATATATATATATATACATACACAAGTGTAAAGTATATATATAGAAATGTATACATTCATAATGAATCATTAATTTAAAAACCTCGATCCCATTATTTAATTTAAATAAATTTGATCGACATAGGGTGTAAGAATATTTACGAAACTGACTGTATATTCTCTCCAAATGACAAATAGCCGAGCCACTCCGTTCCTATTCGTCATGCTCCAGTTCAACACGTTGGTCGCCACGTCACCCAAAAATATACGACAAGACTATTCATCGATCTACTAAAAAAATCAATTCCAAAGGTAAGACCACAATGAAAATAAATTTTGAATAAAACTTCCAAATTTAAAAGGGTTAAAAAATTAAATTCCGCGTCTAATGTTACATTAAATCTACCCATCAACATTCAAAATTTCAACTTTGTTCACGTGTTTCAGTCCAGGCAGCCAACGTGTCGACAAGCGCAAACACCGAGAACTATCGAGCATCGACGCGTCGCGAGACGGCTCCCGATATTCCGAGGCTGGTCGAACACACGCTGCTCGCGTCCACGAAACCGGAGAGCCTTGCGCGGCGAACCCTTTCCTCGGCGCGGGCGATTACCGTCTTGGCGATAATTCGATGGTAATTAGAGCGTAGGCGGGCGAACGCGTAACACGAGGTCGTGGGGGTCGCGGCGATCAGCGAAACGGCCGGTGAAGTCAGCTCGACCAGCCCTCGTAAAACAAAACCATCCTGGCGAGGGTTGCATTAATTAACGCTAAACGGAGAGGACGTGCATGCACTGATAGAGCACGAGCCGAGCGCGCGGGCACAGAGAGACATGCTAGGCCAGCGAGACAGGACGGGCACAGGCAAACGATCCTCTACACACTGGACGGAATAGAACGTCTACCGAGCATGTTCAACAGCTTGGAAAAGGAGTCTGTTCTTGCGTGATTCTAACCTGAGTTGAACGTCCGGTGAATGGCGTTCGGTGTGGTGGTGGCGGGGACAGGGGCACTTTCTGGAACGGGAGGACAGAAAAGATATCGAGTTAATCGATTTGAGCCTGAGAGGTCTACTGTTTCGTGGCTGGGCCCCCGGGGATTGAACTGCCACCGAAAGCACCCGTGATACGAGCTCTACGTGCCCTCCTCGCTCGATATGCATACACTAACGCCCAAAAGTACCCGGACACTTGCCAAATATGTATCAGCATCGCACGAAACTTGTTTAAGTAATGCAGCGACCAAGCTGAGACGATTCTGAGCAACTATTTCCTTTGCAAGAATTACGGACGGTGCTTCGTTTTTGAATTATTGACGAAAAACCGTCGACCAATCACAGCGCCCCAGTAGCGCGCGCTCAGTCGCGAGAACATAGGCGAGAGCTAGGATTGGTTGGCCACGCGTAGGCAGTTAAGTGCGCGCTACTCGGGCGCTGTGATTGGTCGGTGGTTTTTCGTCAATAATTCAAAAACGAAGTGCAATATGACATTTCTGCGAAGGAAATTGTTGTTCAGAATCGTCTCAGCTACCCTTCCACCCATTTTCGGTTCTTAGACTAATTCTGGGACACCCTGTAGACGGGTGACGTGGCGACCAACGTGTTAATATACGTGTAAACATATCGAAGAACTCGCTGAACTCGTTCTGTAGCAGAGATGAAACAAAGTGAAACTTGAGATTCTTCTAACCATTCGATCTTGAATTCGATCTATTACATTTTCTATTTCAGGAATTTTATTTCTGCATACTCATTATATAATTTGTACATAAAAATTAATTCTATCATCCTGTGATACCTCAAAAAAGACAGCAATAATAATTACACAATTAATGTAAGCGTTCTGAATACCTTTGGTACAAAGTTAAACTGTGTTTTATGGAATAAAAGCAAGTTTCGTCAACAAAAGTCCGGGTACTTTTGAGTGGCAGTGTACGTGTGTACCGTGCAAGAGCTGTTCGTTCGTTGTGTTCGTAACGCCACCCTTACCTACACTCCCCTTCCCCCGACCCTCCGATTCTCCTTGTCCTTCTTTCTGTCGCGATAACAGTTTCGCGGCTCTTTCCAGGGAACGCGCGCATTTATCTTTGACTCGCGACGCGAATTCGCGAGGAGGAGGTTCGTTTCGATGCAACGCGGACGGACGTTTCGATCAACGGCGGGTTGCACGGATCGGGGGATTGGGAATCGTGGTGAAGTCGATGGTGAAATGGGTTTTAGAAAAATTTTTCTGGGTTTGAGGTAGGATTCACGACTGCTGAGATCTGTTGATGTACTCTCGAAAGCAATTGTGCTTGAGGCAAAGTTCCTTTTCTCTTGGGGGGATGAAAATGCGTGTGAATTAAGGGTTAGGTGAATTAGTAATTCAGGGTAGTGGAAAAGGGCCATTTAGGGTTTTGATGTTTTAATAATAAAATCAGTGTAGGCTTGGTGGAAAGCTAAATTATATATAATTACATTATCGTTTACGTTTAGTTGTAATCATATGCACTTTCATTTAAAATTAAAAAATTGGATTTCATAGTGTTAATATTTTATTGAAAATAAAATAAGTTTCCTGTGAAGAACCCTTTTAATATCCAAATCAGCAGGAATGCAAATGCATGTGCTATGTGAACTGTGAGTAATTAAAGAGTTTTGCAAAAGGGGCTTTTTAATAATAAAATCAGTCTTGCTGAAGGCTTAATGTTATGAAGTATATCCAATTGTTTAATTTCAAATGAAAGTGCACATGATTCAAATTAAAGTGCGCATATAATTAAATTAATGTTAAAAGAATTAATATAATGAAATATATACAATTTTTTAAATTCAAATGAAAGTGCAAATGATTAAAATTAAACGTGAACAATGATATCATTTAAAAAATTCATATTATATAAATAAATTAATGTTAAAAGAATTAATTTAATTAAATAGATACGATTTTTAAATTTCAAATAAAAGTGCACATGATTAAAATTAAACGTGAACAATGACATCATTTAAAAAATTCATACTATATAATTAAATTAATCTTAAAAGAATTAATGTAATTAAATATATACAATTTTGTAATTTCAAATGAAAGTGCACACCTTCAAAATTAAATGTGAACAATGATATATCATTTAATCTTTTATCCAAATCAAAGTGATAAAGTCTCCTACGACAAATCCTTTGAATATTATAATAAAATCAAATAAGAATCTCTCGAATTTTACGAACCCATCCCAGTCTCACTCATCCATTTTTTCCAGATATTTGTACAAAACACCCCCCGTAATTGCTAGCCACTCCACTGCACGGATCTCCCGTAATTCCTCCAAGATTTCATCGCTCGAATGTTATGTAAATTATCCGAGCATTGAAAATTGATACGTACAATCTCCATACGAACTTCAGACGAGCGAGACTCGCAATCTCCGAAAGTACTGACGGTTTCTTTGCGTTCGCGCGAGGCAACGTTTCCTTATTCATTAGATACATTTATTCTCTGAGAAAATCCAGCGCCAGAGATCATACTTAAAGCTCCCTCTTCCCCCCGGTCTCACATTCAAAGGTCTTCGAATTCAATTACGTGCGGAATGGTATTTCATTGAAGCTCTTGTGTCCGAATCATTCGACCGCATTAGAGATTCAATTCTCCGCCAGGCGACTGACTGTATCGCACTCGGTTTTCATCGCGCCGAAAATATCGATTTCAGTTAACTGACGAGCAATTACTATTACGCACGCTGGTCGCGATAAGGACTGGTACACGAGGCTATACGAGCATAATTAATGAACAGCACTGCTCGTGCACGCGAGGCTACGAAATCTCGCGAATCGGAGTAACAATTTGCTCGATGCCGTTCAAAGAAACCACCGGGTACGTAAACGACGGTTAATTGTTCCATCTCGTGTGCAGCAGAGGCTCGAAATTACTTTATGTACGTGATGAATGTAACAGGGTTGGGATGAATAATTTACATAAAAGATTTTGTAGGATTTGGTTTTTAAATAATGTTTCAGGTTGAATTTTCTGTAAAAGAAAAATTGGAAAAATCTGGAAAAATGGTCGAGACACGAAGCAGTTCGTAAATTTCAAGATTCCTGTTCGATTTGAATATTAAAAGGGTTTTTCGAAGTTGAGAAATACGATGAAATAATTTACATTGTTTTTTCAAATTCTCTTCAGAATATAAACAATAAAAATAATAAACAGCGTTTATCTCTGTTATTAAGGAAAGTTGTAAATATAAAAAGTTACGACTATACCAAGTGCTTCGATGTTGAAATTTAAAAATGTTCAAAAAGTGAAGATAATCGATTTGTGCAGCGGCTCGTTTAGGTGTCAGACAAATTTTGTAGAAACAATCGCTCGTTCGACCGTGAAAAGATGATTCGACGCGCGCAAGACCAAAGGCGCAAAATTATGAGCGGTTCGGTAAAATCGCCGAATAACACCGCCGTTAAATCGCCGCTATAGGTAGAAACGATAGAATTCATTATTAAATTACCGAAACACCGATACGATACAGAGAGCGTTATCGTCCGCCGCGGTTATTTGCGATAGAACTCCGCTTGAACCCGCGTGTATTGTTATTCGTTACAGGTTACCGCGCGCGCGATTAATAACGATAACGTGTAATCGCTGAGATCGATAAATATTTGCAGCGTCGAATAATAGGGACTCGTTAGCGCCCAGCGATACATTGTACGGCGACCGAGGACACGTTGAAAAAAACGAAGTTACGACCCAGTGCTGAAATAAATCTCTCGTCAAATAAATGACCGAAATTCCATTTTTCACGAATTTCTCAAATACTCGCTAACTATTGAATGAAATTGTTATTTCTAGAAATACTACGTAATATCCTGGATGAATTCTATTCTCCGCGCTACGATCCAAGCAGGAGGTCAAAAATATCCCTCGAATGGCAGCCAACGTGTCGTACGCGTGCATCACACATGCGGAGGTCGACTTTTACTATCGATTAACCTTTAATTCAAGTTTCAATCTATGGTCAAACCTGTTTTTGCGCGGTCTTGTTTTATGCTAATTTTTCTTATGCGGTATATGAAAATAATATGATATCGCACATTTGAATTTAATAACGGAGAACGAAGAGACGATTGAGTGTCATGTAAAAATTAAGATTAATTTTGAAGTGAGATTAAATTTAAATTAATTATTTCTTCTACTTAGTCATAGTTTCTCACGAATTTTATTTTATTCGTAGGCATAAGTGTTCCTTTAAAATGAATATTTCCAAGTAAAACTTTTTTTATGCGGTCCCATTCCACCGCATAAAAAAGAATTTATCTTCAATACAGCATGAAAGTGAGATTAAATTTAAATTAATTATTTCTTCTACTTAGTCATAGTTTCTCACGAATTTTATTTTAGTTTTAGGCATAAGTGCTTCTTTAAAATGAATATTTCCAAGTAAGACTTTTTTTATGCGGTCCCATTCTACTCCATAAAAAAGAATTTATCTTCAATACAGCATGAAAAATTATTTCCTATATCTATTTATGAAATTTCTAAATATTCCGTATCTTCCTTTTTTTGTATTCGGTCCCTGCCGCACAAAAACAGGCCCGACTGTAATTATTTCGCAACATACTCTCGGCATCTACGCCTTGAAGGAACTACAGAGTAATCGATTTTCCTAGAGCGGGGTGAGGGAGCCTTCTTAACGAGCGAACAGGACGATGCTCGATAATTCACGAGTACTTTTAATTGACACTGCAACGTCGCCGCCGCTGTAATCGGAAGTATCGTTGCAGCGCGCGGCCAACGTTGACAGGGCAATCAATTAGGCGAATTAATTGTGCGACAGAAGTGCCAGGGAGACGGAATCAACGGTGTGCAGGCGCGTTCATCAAACGTTTCTCACGGTGGGTAGCGAATGCAAGTTGGGCTGAGAGAAAAAGAACACCGTCGGGCGTCGTCTCAAAGAATCTGTACGTATCACGGTGACAGGCATGCAAGGCGGTAAGCGTCAGTCATTTCTCGCATGCTGGTGCGTAGTCAGGGTACCGGAAGTGTCTCTCCTGATCGTTCGAACGGTAGACACGTACGCAAGCGTTTGGGAATGTCTTTCTCATCTAACTCCATTACGCATGATATTTACACTGGTACTGGGACTTTTGGAATGTTCTCGGTTAACCCTTCCGCGATCCGTGAACGGTTCGCGAAATGTATATCGCTCTTGGCCGAATGTCGTCGAAGTTTCAAAAATCACGAAATTCGAGTGATATCTAGCAAACTAAACGGTAAATTAAAACAATGTTACACACGGGTGCGTACTGAGATGTAAATTTTAAGTTTTCAAAGTTATGAAAAGATCTGAACTGTTACTTTTTATCGAACCAGCTTTAATCAGAATTTTCAGGTCCGAAAGCTTCTCTTGTTCCTTTCAAAATTCACTTTATAAATTCGCACTTGTAACGAGACTTTTAGATATAAGAACGAATGTTACATTAAAAGATTATAAGAGAGATTACAAGAAAAATAAATTCTTCTTTACATACTTCATTATACTTTACACAAAGTATCATTTAAATCAAAATTTTCAAGTTCGGAAGCTTCTCTTGTTTTTTCAAAATTCACTTTATAAATGTACACTTGTGAAGTTTGTCTTCTAAATATCCTGAAAGCTTCTGAAAAATTGGAACAATTGTCCCACTAGAAATTATTTCGATCTCGATCTTCCCTCGATACTTTTTAACAGTGAAAATTAATATCATCGGTACTGATTTGCAATGGAATATAATAGACAGTAACGAATGTGTTGGAACATGGTTTCAGCGCGTCGGCCGCGAAAGGGTTCACCGCTACGATGATGGTCGCGCAACATCAGCATTACCTTCGACTCTCAACACGAAGGCTAAATTCATTTTGGGCTCGGTGTTAACCTGGCATTCGTAAACCCCGGCGTCACGTTCCTGGACGTAAGCGATCTTCAACGTCCATTCGTTGGATGTTTCCGGGTGCTTCACGGAAAATCTTTCGTCTCCCGTGTACGCGTAGATGGACGAGGTGAGTATGTGTAAATCCCTTTTACGTATCCAGGACACCTGAAACCAAAATGACAGCGAGTGAGCATCCGTTTGGAATCTCGACGAAAATTCAGGGACCGACGACTAAGCTCGACTTCAATACCTCTTTCGTTTTGGGGATTCCTTTTCAAAACAGGAAACCAGAATCTCAGAAAAAGGTGCATACACGTCCATACAGGCAACCGAAGCTATGAAAAATTTAAGCGGGAGTAAGTAGAATTCAAGATACTTTGCTTTTAATAGTATAATTTTCTTTTATAATTGCACTTGATTATTTAGAATGCTATGAATTACTTTTAGGCAATCAAAGCTATGAAATATTAAAGCATGAAAAAGTGGAATTCAGTAGCTAGTGGACACTTTGCTTTTGATGCTATAATTTTCTTTTTCAATTGCACTTGATTCTTTAGAACGCTATGAATTATTTTCATGCAATCAAAGCTATGAAAAATTAAAGCATGAGAAAGTAGAATTCAGTAGCTAGTGGACACTTTGCTTTTGATACTATAATTTTCTTTTTCAATTGCGCTTGGATTTCTAGAATGCTGGTGTGCATTATTTTTACGTCAATCTATCCTCTCTGTCGCTTTGTAACATTACTGACGATTATTATTTAGCTATTCTTTCTTACTAATTTTACAAAGCTACATCACTATTTATGCATTCCACAATCTTCATTTGAATTTATATTACAAAGGGAATTTCAAACAATGTACATTATTTCGTCGCATTTCTCAGCGTTTTATATTAAATAATTACATTGTCTCAGCTGTTCCCTACACGAAAGACGACGACTACCGAATAAATGAGACGGAAGTATCGACGAACCGCTACGAATCGGCCGAAATGAAATTTCCTGTGACGTGGTCGATCGCTTACGGACGCTTTGTGATGAATAGAATTTCAAGATTATTCGCCCCCTGCAGTGGTGTGGATTTACAAGGGTATTGCTGAAACGGTCACGGTGAAACAATGTTTGACGAGAATATAGATCTGTCAAATCTGTTAACAGTCGTGTAATAACATTCCCATTGATCTATCGGCGCACCTGTGGCGATCTAATAATCGTATCGTCGAGCAGCGCGTATCCAATTTTCGATGTGTATTAGCATTGACGAAATTGTGGTAACGCAAACGTCATTATACGTCAAACCATAGACGAGAGCTGTTAAATCGTGTATCGGTGACGTTATGTTCGTTAACGTCTCAAATGGAATTGCGTAATACCGTTCGCGACGAAAAGACAAATTCGTCTAATTTTAATTACTTCCTGTTAGTTCAAACAGGATCATTTAATTTTATAATTCTAGGATGGAATGTTATTTAATACAGATACTTCACTCTTTATTTAAACTTTGGATATCACTTTGGTTAGGATAGACAAATTAATTCGCTGGATTATAATTGAGGGGAGTGCTAGAATCAGAAGGTAACTCCATTTTTTTTTATGATTTTAAGGTAAGAACATAATCACGGATTTAAAACATTCCTTTTTTTGGAGGAGCAATAAGGAGGGAAATTTGAAGAAATGCAGCTACCTCCTTATTGCAGCACACTTCTCAATTATTATAAATATATTAAATACGTAATGTGCATAATGAAAATGTTGTCCGAGGCTTCGTTAAGGAGATATTATCAGTAGGGTACGCGCTAGGCGGCCGCAGTAGTATAGGCCCGCGCTAGCCAGCCGCCCCATATTTACGGGACTGACTGTATACGTACTCATTTAGAGAGTTCTAGTTCCATCTTCCTGATCACGACTTAAAAATAAAATTATCAAGCGTACAAACTGAAAATAAATTCACGTGCACAGGAATTCGAGTAGTAGAAATTGCTCCAAGCATCCAGCGACGCTCTCGCCCCCAATTTTCGGAAAACACGTCGAACAGGATTAAACGGCTGATGAGAACAGCGATGAAACGTGATATTCAATTAATGCGGGAGCTGCGTACGCGGCAGGCGGCCGTGAAACGAAACGACGAACCCTTCCGAAACGTCTAACAGCGAAAACTTCTCGAGAGATCCTCCGCCGTTTCGACGTGTTCCCGTCTGCCGAGAGGGATTGCATTTCTCCTCCCTGTCTCGTCTCTCTTTCACCGACTCGCGGAAGGATGCAGCCGGGAATAATTTACGAGGGTGAGAAGATCTTCTTCCCCGGGAACATACGTTTAACGATCCCCCATTGCTGGGGGTTAGAAGTGCCGCCACCCATAAACGCAAGGGGTTGGAAAAGGGAGCTTCGCTGGGGGAGCGACTTTTGGCGCAGAAACAGAGCCGTCGGACGTCACGTACTTCTATAATTGTTCATCCGGCGCGGAGACATTCGACGATCGCTATAAACGTCGGTGATCCGATAGGGGGTGGCGGATTTCGGACATTTTTCTCGCTGCGTATATCGGAACCGGGTGCCTTTATGAAATTCGTAGCGCGTTTTCCTCGATTCACTGCGGTCGTTGAGCTGAGGAATTATTCTCGGATAGATCGTTCGAGTATTAGGCGAGGGGGGTGTTCGATCAGTGTTTCATTATATGTATATATGTAAATAAACTCTACACTTGTGTATATTTATAATAAAACACTTATTTGAAACACATATTTGGAGGCATTAAAATTATTATTTAATTTAGACAAATATTTTCAATAGACATAGAGGTATGAATATTTATGGGACTGATTGTAGTTACCAGAATATTTTAGTACAGAATATACGTACACTAATTAAATAGATTAATATACTTTTATATTATCTATTTTATACACATGGGATAAAATGTATACAGTCAGTCTATGTGTCTAAATAAACTTTTCAATATATACATATACAAGCGTAAAGTTCATCCTCGTCCATATTTATAATAAACCATATAATTTACACAACAATTATATATTTTAAAGTGTATATTTATGAGACTGCTACTAACCTAACAAATTTTCACAAAATTTCCCTGTTCAAGTCATGTTCCACGAATGTATGACGTAACCAGTGGAAGAATCAAACGTTCAAATATAAATCTGCCGTATCCGTTATCGTCGCGCCATTTTCTCCTCGCCGGTTATCGTTTCGCGCCTTTTATATCTAACGGCCGAGCGGCTTCGACTCGGAAAATTAAATATCTTCCGGGTCTTGCGCTCTGGCCCCACGGGTTCGGATCTCGTCGTAAGTTACCCTACGGACGTCTTACAGTTTCGAACTCCGGCTCCCAGGCGTCGAGATTACAGGAACAAGGATGTTACGTGCTCGACGCGTTATCGCGGAATTTCGCCTCCATTAAAGTACAACGGGGCGAGAAATCTGCAAATAAAAGGACCGTTGCCCGCCACGGCGAACCGCCCTGAAACATTCTTCTGACAGTCCGCGTGCGAGCATTTTAATTACGGAAATATTTCCCGACGGAATGACAAGGGTACAAAAGCCCCGCCATAGTAAACATGAACATTGTTTGTGCTCCATGGAAAACGTAATATGATTCACGGTTGGCTGCGCTTTCTTTCCAATGGGTCCCTTTCTCTGTTTTTTAGCGGAAATGATTCTCCTGGTCGTTTCGAATCGGAAATCGATCTGTTTTCGGGCGTTTCGCGGAGATTCGTGTTCTGGAAATCTTGCAACGAAATTTGGAAAGCGATTTTAATTTTTGCATTTTTATATGACAATATTTCATGAAATTTTTAATTTTTTTTTTTCAACGTATATTAATAATGGATTAATAATGTACATTTTTGCATAGAATGGAAGAGGTCTCTTTTGTCAGAAATTCATTATAATGAAAGCCCTCCTTATAATAAATTTATGTGTGAGAAAGCAATCCATATGTGTTCAGTTTGATTTCAGCGCGGCGATGTACGTCGTACACTATCGCGTCTTTTGTTCCTTACTCTACGCACGTCCTCGCGACGTTCGTTTAAGTTAGTCCGCATCACGAGCTGTTACCATTAACATGTGCTCAATATATATGTATTCATATTCTTCTTAATTAAATATACTTATCCAATTTACGTGGTGTTATAATCCTGTCATTATGAAAGTAGAATAGAGAATTAAAATGTTATACATTACTCTAATGAATTTTCCACCAACATCGCAGAAAATTAATCCCGAACAGGATTTTATGCGATCATGTTGTACAGTAATACGTTATTTTATATTCATATTAAAATTGTTCGGAAAAATTCGATTTTTCTATTTTAAATGAAAATGCAAATGCAAATTTTCTCTTTAAGAAAACCCTTTTTTTTATGATTTGTAAAAGCAGATCTTCCTTATATAAAAATTACAAGGAATAAATTATCCATCTATTCATATACTTTGTTCACTTTTAAATACCATTAACCAACACAAGGAAAATAAATGCGCTTCGCTGATCATATATTTTTATATTTTTTCTATCACCCCTGTATCTACTCGTAATTCGAATCAGACATAATTCTGACTATGCGTTTTCCGACTCGCTATCAAATGTCTCTGTGTTCTGCTCGGTTGGCATCCTGACGAGTCCACTATTAGGTCCAGGACGAAACGCATTCCTTTCCACCATCCTTTTCCATCTCTCTTCCATCCTTTCTCATTTTCGACCATCGTGGCAACGTGCGAGGGTTTCCTTCGGTTTTGGCCTCTCAGAGCCACGAAGATGCGCCATTTTCTGCTCAGGTCAACCCGAAAGCATCCCGCAAAGAGGGCTCTTTGCGCGGTTACGTACACCTTCTCCCTGACGCGATCCCTATTTCCTATTAATCCGACAGCGGCGAGCGTCAGGATTTTCTCAGCAAATTCTAGCGCACCTAGCACACAGACCGAACGAAATCTATAAAAAAGGACCGATTATTTACCAGTAAACACATAGCACTTACGATAATATATATTTGACAGGAATTCATAGTTAATAGGAAAATATCAGGAAATATCACGTAATCAATTATGTGAATTATCGACATTTATTGTAGTGGTATATTTAAATAGTTCATGCAGTAATTGATTTTGTTTAGTTAGATGTAATTCAAATACTAACAAGTACACTAAGGAC